TGAGAAATACAATTTTACATTTGAAATGCGAGACAATTCTGCTCCATGTTGGTGCGGGAAAATGATGAGCTTCATCGACGATTAAAAGATTGAAAGCTTTTTCATTCAGTTTTTCCCAATCAACACTTGAATTTGTTCCAAATTTATGCGCATTTACGATAACTAAATTCTCAGCCAGATCTTCGAGATCTCGTCCTTCGTTCACGATACGAACTGTCTCAACGAACCTATCTGCTGCATCCTGAGTCACAATTCCTTGTTTGACATAGAAACTTTTCGTTGGTTTTTGTCTAAAATCAATTACAGAAAAAAAAAAACTTCTTTTTCCAATCTACTCGAAATCGATTTTCATACCCGAAATCTGCGGCTAATTGATTCGTTATCTGTAATGATGGTGTTACGACTAATACACGAGTGGTATTCATAACATAAGGAGCAAGAACAGCGATCCCTGATTTTCCACCACCTGTTGGAATAACAACGAGACCTATACGAGTACAGTCGTTGTTATACCATGTTTGTAAAGCCAACAAAGCGTCACGTTGATGAGGATAAATAGTAAAGTCATGCAATTTCTCTAAGATACGCGATGAATACGTATTGAACCGAGATGTTCGCTTCTAAACAAAAGTGTTTTTGTAAAACCAAACCTAGAGAGAAGACATACCATATCGTCCAGATTCAGAGCCATATAGAATTGATTTGAAGAAATTGACGTACTGCATTGTATGGGAAAAAAACCCAAGAACGATGAAAATAAAAAAACAATACTTCACGAGAAGAATTACTCAAATGTTCTGTGAAAAAAACTCAAAAGATGTCGTGTGTGCAGTACTCAACAAATCGCATTCTAATAGATACTCTCACTATGAAAAATTTGCACCTCGATCTACATACAATTCAGTTCTGAGCGATGTCAGTTATGCACGTTTCAATGCGTCGATGTCGGATTGATCAATGTTTTTTGACGTAATGTGAATCATAAATTATGTCTTATGGAAAGTCAGTATTGACTCGTGGATTGAATTGACTGACGTATGCAAAGTGAAAACGTAGAATATCAGGTTAGAATATAATATGAATGAAATGTCAATGGATAACATAGTGATAAAATCATAGTCCCTGGAATTGAATTTATTCCATTTTTTAAAATTTTTACAGCTACCAAATACTTGTGTATGAGTAATCCTATTTATTTATAGCGAACTTCAAGATTAAAAATGTGAGAAATGAGACGATTGTAGGTTTTTCTGGTTTTTACTTAGTATCATTTTAATTTTATTATTTTAATCACTCTAGTTCTCATTCTGTGCTGGTATCTACTATTTTATCAAAATCGTATTTCGTTCTTTTTTCTATTCCGCCCTTGTCACGATTCTTCCTCGTGTCACTCCAATACTCATATGCGCTTGTCTGTTTTGGTATGCTACTAGCAAAATACTGTTTTCTTTCGTTCTGTCTCTTCTGCGTCATTCTTCATCGCCCCACTCTCTATTTTCCTCGTGTTCTTCTCTCCGACTATGTTTTTCAAGAGAAAAACAACACACATACACACTCTCCTGTATTCATTTATAATAGACGATATTTCCTAATACACAACTGTATCGAAATCTCCCAGTCCTATCATCTACTTTTCCCTCTATATCATCGACTGTTTTCTTTTCAGATTAGCCAGTTGAATCTCTACATCTAATGAACAATCAGAACCTAAGAAAAGTTCTGTTGAAAGTCGGCGATCGTCTTAGTGATCAATCTCGCAAACGACTTCATTTTCTTCTTGGTGATAATGTTACTCGACCTATTCAAGATGACACGACAATCCACGGTACTGTTGATCTCTGGCAATCGTTATTTGATCAAGACAAAATCAACGAAAGTGATGTAACATTGTTGATCGATGCACTCAGAGATATTGGCTGTATGGATGCAGCTAAAAATCTGCAAAGTATGATGAACATATTGATGATGACATTGATTTTAGATGTTTTATTGTTGTGTTTAGAATATATGCAGTCAGTACGATCGACTGGAGTTGTGAATGAGTCGACAGAAGCTCAGACAATACAAACGACTTCAAAGTTTGATACGTTGATCGATGATCAAGAAGACTTCGACAAAGTAACTGTAAATACACGTAAGTCAAGAGAGAGAGAGAGAGCGAACAATATGAATGGAAACTATTCGATGCGCTTATTTTCGAAGGTTTAAACTATCGGAGCATGATGGGAAACGACAATCACCTGGATAGCAAATACATGGCACCGGGTGAATATATGAAGAGAAAACTTTGCTTTGGAGAAAGTGTTGGATCATCAAAGGAGAAGAAATATCAATTATTATGTATTTCAATATCGATAGTTTTATTGGCAATTGTTATCGCCGAAAGCTTTTGGATTATCCGTCTCTACAAGAAATATGATGATAAAGACACGCAGAGCCTTTCACGGGAAAATACAGATCGGATTGCCCAATTAAACAGATCTTTACTGGAAAAAAAACAAGGAATTGAAAAATTAAACAACAGCTTGAAGCGATGTAAGACGACACACTGAAATCAATATACTTATGACTTTATATAACCTAAACGGAATGAATGATTTAGTTTTAGAATCAGGCGATAATGGTACAGTTTGTTGTGAAGCATATTGTGGTCATAATGATAAGCCTAACGGACATTGTTCTTGTTCGACTTATAAAAGGGGCGGTTAGCACGGCAAATGAAAAACTCTATGTTCAACGTTATGCTACAGTTTCATTTTAATTTCAGAAAACAGAATTCGCTCGTGAGAAGTGTTTCATTGTGAATATACTTCTATTCAGTACAAATACCAAATGACATTCGGCACAAATTTAATTGTTTTTTGTTTTTTTTTAAATATTTTCCTAAACTACGTATAGCATTTGATAAATTCTTGATATTCTCATAGTCGGCACGAAATGAGATCATCTTCGTACAGCTGATCAATTTTTCAGTATATTTCCTAACACATACGATCGATCAGGTAAAATTGAAATAGAAAAAACTTTCTTTACGTCGTCAATTTCAGTGTCAGTATACTGATAGACGACTAAATAGCTGAAAACAAACTGATTTCAGGTTTCTTCTCTTAACACGACAGCAGTGGATAGTTACTTTCACCTTTCAAACTGTTTCAAATACAATCACCAAAAATTTACATGAACTACACTCGGAAAAATCAGTTCGTGATAGGTCGATGTCGAATACGTTCCTCTTTTACAAGTAAGTGTTTATTTCCAAGAACGTTTCTCGCTATAAAGCATTCGTACAAAAAAATTGATTGTTAATGAAGAAGAACGAAATGTTTCGTTTCATCATTTGATTGAAATTCGTGACTTAAATCGAACTCATTCGCTAAGACACTCAAGCAACTCAAACTTAAATGTGCGTGCTTGGTGATATAAGTGTACCAGTAAGAAGATAAAGCAGGTAAAACTGCATCCGGTTTTGTTTGTGTTTCGTTTGAATCTTCAATACTGAAATCCATCGATTCCATAGGTGAAGTGAAAAAACTTGCGAAATATTTCGATCGATTTCCTTTCATGTACAAATCATTTTTCACTGCTAATCGATGAGCTTTCGTATGAATAACTGTAGGTGGAACGTCAAATTCTAATTCTTCAACTACAACTCCAGCGAACCAATTCGTGTGAGATTTCAATGCTTTAATATCCGATTTGATATGATCACCGAAATAAATCACAGTCGCTTCTTTTTCACTGATCCGATTCATGATGATCTGTAAATCTTCACTATTACCCATTGTGTAAATATAATTCTGACGAAAATTTTCGACGATTTCGTCGTTGGTCATCGGAACAAATGTGTTTTCATTGATCATTCGATGAAAGATTCGTTTCGGTGATTGAGAAAAAAACGATGGTTTTTTGCAATCAACGATAATCATGTCGAATAGACTTTGCCAATCTTGACCAAATGCATAACTTGATAGTAAGTTTGTATAATCAAATCGCGAATTCGTAGCTAAGAATAATTTTTTCTTGTTTTCACGGAGTCTTTCCAACCATTGTCGAACGTCTGAACGTTGATAGATAAACTTTTCCGGATTTGCTCGTATTGCTGCAAAATAATTTCCACGATTGAAATCATTGAATAAATACTCGAAACCATCGGCAATATCTTTCAAAAAGAAACTATATTTATTCTCCAAATCACTCGCCTTTTCCCGATCAACCAAATCCACAAGATTTGCAATTAAATACGATGTACTATGTTCAAAGTATGTGTAAATGCATAGGAATCGTTTCGTTGTGTCTTCTTCAATCTCTTCTAGTGCATGTGGATAGATTTCTTGGATCTCCTTCGATGATAAACGTTTATACACGCCATGTAATGCTGTGTGAACTAATCCTTGAGAGTTCAATTGAATCAAATTTCCATATAAACTGTCGTAGATTAAAGCTTTAACAGCGAAGTGATCATCGTATGGAATTTGAAGTAGAGAGTGGTTGTACTGATGAAAATCGACTAAATACTGACGAATTGATTCATAAATTAACGTGTGAAGTGGAAATAAACGGTAACGGATGAGAGTATGATCGAGATCAAATCCGATCCAGTCACATGATGATAACGAGAATGTTGAAGGCATTCGTGAAAGAATGTCGTTTGGATGAAATATAAGAGAATTATAACATTCATCGAAAAAATTTGTGAGAAGTCCAATTGATAACGTTTTCGATAAGAGATTGTTGAATAGATGTCACACGAGACTTGACATTTTTCACACAGCTTCTATTCGTTGACGCATTGAAATATTTCAAAGCTAGTTCAGTAAACTATTCAATTACTTTTGCTTCAAGAAATATAGGAGAACTGTTTTCTTGACGAATAACTTTTGCGAGAATAATTTACCAGCGGAGGTTAGTCTATTTCTTCAAGATCAATGTCAAGTACAACACTAAATTTTCTTGTTGGTTTAGGTTAGCTTTGGTGTGCATTCGAGATTAACAAAACCAGAATGGAGATGTGCTCACCCATGCGAAGTAAACGTTAGAGAAATCAAGGATCTCTAGTTATTCTTCTTCGACGTTTTACTGGATGATGTACTCGACTTTTGTTCTTCTGAAAAACTTAATCCATTGATAGACGTTAAGTTTAGCTATTAATATGTCTGGCTCATCAAGTCACGCATAGTTTACTGGAAAAAAACTCATCCGTCTTCAGATTTTAAGCGTTATCATACAAACTCGGCGATTACTAGTGAGGATATTTTAGTCACTGTTCGACAGTTTAGTTCATGATAAACTTAATCGAGACAATACCTTTATTAATCATGGAAGAACCTTAATTCCCTTTGGATATCTGAGTATTATAATTTACTCTTAGCCATTACAGACAATCATCCGAAAGTTAGAAAATCTTCTGCACAATACATTATTACTTTTACGTATATCTTAAAATTATTTCCGGTGTAGTTCCACAATGACATATCATGAGAGTTTATGGGCATACGACAGCTATTATTAGTTTCGAACAAAAAATTCTTTGGTTCTTTACATGAATGATGGATGACAAGAACACTCGTTTCTCTCAAGTGATTCTCGGCACCTGTGCTTACAAAATGCAGTCCAATGTGTTAGAAGAGAGTTTCAGTCCAAGAGGAAAACTTGAGATAAACTTTCTCCGTCAGTTGAATATCATCGTCAAAGTTAAAGAATGATGCTGTCTTTTCTTTTATGTCTGCAAGAAACTATGAAAATCATAAATATTGTCGTCGGAAAGAAAAGCGAGTAATTATAGAAGATTATCTTCACTAACGTTTTTCATTTAAGTCGTCGTCATGCCATTAACGGTTAATGAAATATTCAGCATTTCACAGAAGTATTCTGCAATTTCCACTGTCATTATATTTGTTTTGGCAATTATTGGCAATACAATCAATATTCTCGTGTTCACTTCTTTCAAAGCTTTTCGAAACAATCAGTGTGCACTCTATCTCATTGTCGAAGCACTAGCCAATCTCTTTCAATTAACCATATACTTTTTTATTTATCTATTTGTTCTTACGCATGGCCAAGATTCTGGTGCATCATCTATAATCTGGTGTAAACTACGCGCCTCGTTTATCGTTATCTGCACACTTGTTGCTTTCTCTTCAATCTGTTTCTGTACCATTGATCAATATCTCTCTACCAGCCATCGCTACTTTTTCAGACAACTTTCCACAATCAAACTCGCCTATATACTCCTTACCGCTGCATTCGTATTCGCACTACTTCAGTCAATACCTTTCGCCGTTTTCTCCGAAATCCAAGGTAGCTTTTGCACTGTATTCAATCCATTCATGACAGCCTATATCTCATCCTTCTATTATCCTATACTATCTGGTCTTCTTCCTGTGATGATTACATCGATATTCAGTCTGTTGGCATATCGAAATGTTCGACAAATCGTTCGTCGACAAGTACCAATAGTCCGTCGTCGTCTTGATCAACAACTGACAGCTATGGTACTTGTTCGGGTGATCGCACTTGTGATTTTATCTGTGCCGTATATTAGTCAGAGAATGGTTGTGTTTATTACAAAGGTGAATCCAACAAATCTCATTCTTTATGCCATCATCTCATTAGTGGGCTCATTTACATCTTCATTTTTTTATTTAAATTGTGCCGTGAGTTAGAGAGAAAAGATTTTAACTGGAATAGCTGATTTTATATGATATTTCTTTAGATATCTTTCTATTTATTCGTGACGGTTTCGCGTCGATTTCGCCGACAAGTAAAATATGTTATGTTGAAGAAATTTTGCCGGCAATGGAGAAGATGGTGTTGTCGTGGTGATAATCAAGTAAATCCGATGAGAAATACACGATCTACGGAATTAAGTGGAGATATTGAATGATTATATTCGATGACAGTTAATTAATGTTCTGTGGGAATATTCAAAGCCATTTAGTATTATATGAACGCAAGAGGAAATCACATTTCGTTCGACTTTACAAAGACTAATTATTGGAAAAGCTGTTTCTAGACTTAACGAGTTACTTGTGATCACCAAAGTTATTTTTAGAAGCAATGCATTCTACATATTCACTTGATAACCTTGTAAAGAACGACAGCGTTTTAACGGGAGTATAAATGATGTTTGCTAATGAGTAAAGATCTCGGAGAAACATCCACAAGAAAGTACTTATTTACAACTAGGATGACGAAATGTACACTATGGAACGATTCCGTTGTACTGAATCGATAATAGCTTATCTGGTACATATCCTTTCTCTCAAAAACTGAACGAGGATGTAAAAACACAACTGAATTTTAATATTTGAAATATGAAGAGCAATTCTTGTGTGTATGATGAAAAGATTCGCTCAAGAAATGTTTTTATCAAGTTCTCAACTGCTTATTAATTGAGGTTCTCTTGTTTGATAACCAAGTTATACGGAAAGATAAAAAGAATGTGCGCCATTTGATTGATCTTCGTACACTGATGCTTTGCAAAGAACCAAAAGGCTTTCAGTATATTAAGTCACATCAATATGAATTAATTACTAATAGTATTCTATCAATTCTATCAGGCACACAACAATAATGTAACACTGTTTTTCGATGTTGAGATGCTTTTCGAATAGTTCAACTCGAAGATGTACTACGAAAAATCAATGAATGAACATTACCACTGAAACACATTAATAAAAACAGTTTTTTGGAATTATTGCGGCAGTTAATTATCATGCACAAATAGACTTACACTCTCAATTTCAGACAACTGTCATTTCGATCAATGTTACGCGATGAAACAAGAGAGAGAGACTAATGTCTACGCTGAAAATGCACATGAAGACGAGCTCAGCTGAAGAAAACATTATTATCTGTTATGATGACTATGAACACGGCAACAGCTTTAAATATTCTTCAGCTGACACAAAAATACAGCTTGTATTTTACCACTGGTATACTCGTTTTAGGAATTATTAGCAATACAATCAATATTCTCGTGTTCACTTCTTTCAAAGCTTTTCGAAACAATCAGTGTGCACTCTATCTCATTGTCGAAGCACTAGCCAATCTCTTTCAACTAACCATATACTTTTTTATTTATCTATTTGTTCTTACGCATGGCCAAGATTCTGGTGCATCATCTATAATCTGGTGTAAACTACGAGCCTCGTTTATCGTTATCTGCACACTTGTTGCTTTCTCTTCAATCTGTTTCTGTACCATTGATCAATATCTCTCTACCAGCCATCGCTACTTTTTCAGACAACTTTCCACCATCAAGCTCGCCTATATACTCCTTACTACTTCAGTCAATACCTTTCGCCGTTTTCTCCGAAATCCAAGGTAGCTTTTGCACTGTATTCAATCCATTCATGACAGCCTATATCTCATCCTTCTATTATCCTATACTATCTGGTCTTCTTCCTGTGATGATCACATCGAAATGTTCGACAAATCGTTCGTGGACAAGTACCAATAGTCCGTCGTCGTCTTGATCAACAACTGGCAGCAATGGTACTTGCCTGAACCATCATATTCACCATTTTCAGTACACCCCATACGATTCATTCAATCTATACATTCAATAGCAAGATCACTGTAACCGATTTGCTCCAATGTGCGATTAATAATGCGATATCAGCCATTTTGTTTATCATCTTCGAGCTAAACTTTGTGGTAGAGTATACGAAGTACTTTTTTGGAGCATTAGTATAATCTGAAGTTTTTCGAGGCATTGTTCTATTTGTTTTCAATAGTCTCAACTCGATTTGGGCGACAAGTCAAGTCCGTTTTTGACGAAAACATTCTGCTGTCGATGGAGACGTAATAGGCACACTCATAATAACAACCGAATTCAACCAACAAGAGAATATCGCATCATCAAATCACCTTTTCGTAATGATTTGCATTATATGCGTTCGTATCACACGAGTAACTTGACGATATGACTAATGTATCTATCAGCACGGCCGTTCGTTATCAATGACTAATTTTCCCTCTTGACACAACGATTAGAAATTTCCTGATTACTCATGAAATTTTATTTGAAAATACCCATAGCAATGTATGTATTTGACGATTGAAAGAATAATAATAAAAAAGTATAACTTTCGTTACTATTCCAATAGGAAAAAAACCATACATAACGTCGTATCTGACGTAGATGCATACACACATTGTATCGAATTGTAACAAATTATAAGAAAGCGAAAAGGCAGAAATAACTTATTCGATCATTTGTTCATAACGTGTTAACTGAGCGAGAAAATTCAGATTTGGATTGATGATTCTTCTCTTCTCCTTAACAAACAAATAAGCTTGATTAAATGTCTTCGAATGATATCTCATCAAATAACCAATAACAAATGATGGACTACGACTAATCCCACCTTGACAATGAACAAGAACATTCTCGTTCGATGCTAATTTCTTCTGAATATATTCAAACGTTTTGTCAAAATGTTGAAGAAGATTCTCTTGAGTTGAATCTTGACAATTCAATTGTAAATAATCCAATGAATGATCGTCTTGGTAATGACATGGAATAGTTGTTGAGATGTTAATTATTGCTTTGATCGCATTGTATTTTAACAAATTTCGATCTTCAGCGTCGCGAGCATTGCCCAGATAAAGACCTGGTAAGATTTGTGACATCTCATATGTATCAAGATCAATCGAAGGTGATGGTGATATATGATCTGTTGTAAGTGAGTCTGCTGAACTTACATAACAGCATGTTGGATAATGTTGATAGAATTCGTCAAAAGAGGATTGGAGAACGTAGACGATTTTGTTTGAATCGTATTGTTGGATTTGGTCGAAAATACATTGAATGGTTGAAGATAGTTTTGGTTGAGTGATGGAATTTGAACATGAAGAAGTGATTGAATCATCGTAAAGAATGACGATTTCCGATTGATCTAATCGATGTAGTTGATGTTGATCAATGAAGTTCTTTAAACCACGAGTCGTTAGACGCTTTCGAGATAATTTATCGTTAACATTTAATAGAAAAGATTCTTTGATACGTCGTTCGTTATGTCGTAATGGGGAGCCGCAGTCAATAATTAGCAGTTTTCCGTTGGAAGTGTTCATTATCGTTGCTACGTAGATAGCGAATTGTGCACATGTAATGAAAATCGACGAAGTATTCTTCCCTTCTTGTTCGCCTTCATTACATTTATCGGCAACAGATGTTTGTTGACAGACAAGCATATTTTCGTTTTTAGTAGTAGTCGATGATCTATCGGTAACAGTATTTATACGATGTTTTTGGTCACAAGACAATTGTCGACAAGGTTTGACGTTCTCGAAAGGCGAAGTCAGAATAGGAGAGTGCATGTGACATTGATGATTATTTCTATATATATTATTGCCGCATGAGTCATTGTCCAGCGATTCTATTGGTGGAAGAGAACAGAGAACATACGTGAATAGAAAGAAAAATAGTAGATTGATTCACAATATTACATACCTATTTTGCTTCGTTTTGTTAAGCAAATATCGTCATTAGGGAATTTCATCATCCCGTCCGAACTTTCATTCTGTTCGCTTAAAAGTCGTTTACGAGATGATGACATTGCGTCATAGGTAACAGCACGGAAAAGTTTGCGAGGATGATAATTTTCAGTTGGAATATCAGCTGACAATTGTCGTATTACACAAGTCATCTTCTTAAGAAATCTGAAAGGAAAAACAAAGGAATGGTTCGGTATTTATACAATAGAAAATGACGTGACCACACCCACGCACTACATTACGTCAGGCATCATTCATGTTTCTTCAGAACGACGAAATAAAGAGGCGAATTATAGAATGAAAAATTCCAAACTAGCTAGAAGAAAAATAGACTTTGTTGTACTTTTCATCTATTTAATCGCAAAGTGCTGAAGTTGTGATAATGACGAAATTTCTATTCGATCTTTCGAAAGATAACAAGAAAATCAAAGGTATGGCGAACGTAGATAGGTCATGATTTTCTTGCGATTTTACATCATTTTCATGATTTAACTAACCTGTCACATTACCTGTGGCAAATCATGATTTTTATCAGCATTTTTACGATTATGGCTAATGCACTTCCTTGGCGTCACTCAGGTTAAATAACGATATAGAATATGAAGAGAATATCTCGGTTTATACGTTGTTTTAATAGAATGTTGGAATGATGACTCACACGACAAATGATAGGGTACATTTTTGTTAAAGTGCAAGATTACTGACGTCAGTATCGGAAAGAAAGAAGTGTAGGTATTAAAACATGACGTAGATGATTAAAGAACGATATACGATGAGATACTTGGAAAGTAAAATACATTATTATTTACATAGAGAATTGAAATCCGATAGCTAAATTCACGCCTTTTAACTGCAGAGGTCATTGCACCATAGTGAAGCAATACTTACACATCATTAGAAAAATTTTCAGAGATAAGTTATTGACACATAGTTACAGAAGCATTATTTTTTGTGATACAAGAAAACAACATTTATATTTCATCACGAGGAAGTATGATGAAGACACTATACGAATACGACTTGATTGCCATCTATTTTTTTGTTTTGTCATTTTATATGGCTTGAATTTGTTATGTTATGTTATAGTTGGAGAAAAATCACTCATTGTCAGTGACATTTTCAGCTGATATTTCTCTTAACGGATGAATTTCATTGTGTAGTTTGCGTTTGTATAGTTGTTTACATCGACGCCAGAGTCTCTTCACAAATAGATTTTTCACTTGCCGACGAAAACGTGCCGAGACAAGAAGAAAAACATAGAAAGTCATCTACAATGATTTGAAAACATAGATATAAACACAAAGGAGAAGACAAAATGACCTACCGCATGATTAAGAAGAAGTATGGAATAAATGACTGTGCCGACAGCGAACAAAGTCATCATCTGTACATAGTTTGTTCGATCCAGAGGAGTTGCAGACCAATATATGTAGAAACTAATATAAGGCAAATATGAAATGATGAAAAGAATAACACGCACAAAAGCCAATGCTGTCATTTGGTAATCTAATCGACGACGAACTAATGGAACTTGTCGCCGAACAATATGTCGAACATTTCGATAAGCTAAAAGAGCAAACAAAGACGAGACTGACATCGGTAAAGATGCTAATATAACAGGATAATAGAAATACAGTTGATAACTAGCATAAACTGCATTTACTGAATAGCAAGTAACTCCCAAAAATGAATGAGTAAAAATACCGGCTGGAATGCTGTGAAGAATCCATAAGCAGCAAGCAACACCTGCATAGATTTGTGACGTTTTTTGTGAACTACGCCGACGAAGGTAAGGTATAGGACTTGTGGAAAAAAATTGATCGATAGCAGCAAAACATATCAAAACGAGTGAGAAAGGTAAAAAGATTTGACCTAACATCGTTCGGAGTCTACACCAGATCGAATAAGTGTCGGTAATCGGTACTAGTTGTGATAAAAGATTCAAAACAATAATGTTAGTATTCACAATTGATTCAATGGTGAAATAAAATGAAAAAAGATTTCCTCGAAATGGTTTCGAACTGGTAAACATGACAATGTTCAGTACATTTCCAATGATTCCAATAGTTAACATAACGATACTACTGTAGAGATTATAATTCTTAATAAACACTAAAATATTGCGGATAGCAGTGATTGTAGAAGACATGAAGCAAACGTAAAGCGTGCTTTCACTAGTTAATGAGTCTTGGAAATGAGGCCGACAAACATAAAAAAAAAGAAATCATCATTATGTAAAATATCTGTTCTTGATGTCTCGGCAGCACTCTAGAAAAACGGTCGAAATACCGTCAAAACCAGTTGCAGGCGATGTTAAACAGGTACTCAGAGCAAAAGTGTTCGTTTAATAGTGGTACAAGTTCCGCAACAAGATTTCGACAATACAACCGAGAAGAAAAGTTCCTGTTGACTGCCGGCAACATTTTAATACTCGGTTTCTCAAAAAATGGTTGAGTTCTTTTTCGATAACTCGTTTCGAAAGTATCAGATATGTGCTGTCGAGAACGGATATCTGAATTAAATCAATCCTGATATATGTAACTGGTAACCATCTAGGTTAATAGAAAGTTTTTCCTTTGATCACAATCTCCCTTTGAAATACATTCACAGTTCATGAACATCGTTCAGAGCTGTTCAAGCAAACTAATGCTAAAAATGTCCACAAATCCATAGTAGAGCAATTTATTACTTTAACGAGGGACGAAAAATGTGATATTTTCGTATTTTTACAAATAACTGTCGTCCGTAAGTAGAAATTGGGCCGCAATGGAATTTGTATCATTAGTTATCATCGATATGACGATGAATTCCTATCGATATTACGATCTGCCTTTCTTTTTTGAATACTCAATCCTGTAGATCGACTGATCTTTAGTTTCTTCTTTGAAAAATGATTTTGATCTTCACGCCTGAAAATGATGTTTTTTTCGCCTATAGAACAAGTTTTCAAGATGAGAGTGAGATTGATGCAAAAGACTTTTTAGATAAGATTCAGTGATACTTACGACTTGTTGGCTCGTTCTATTTTAAACGCAGATTTTCTAGACAGATTGTCAAAAACGGATTTTAACATGGATCAACTAATACGAACATGTAAATATAATACACCCTTGCTGCTTTGTACTTGCACATGTTTTTGTGCACTTTGATGATGTCGAATTGTATGAAAATATTCTTTAAGACAAGATAAACGCACACTTCTTCAAAGGAGAAAATCGAATTTATCATTCTTTTCGGTAGCCTAGTTCTAAATTTAAAAGCTACAATACAAATTTCATTGGAATACTCAGATCAGTAAGTTTCAAAACAATATAACATCAGAGGATACGACGAAATGAACTATTTCTTTGCCAAATAATCATTTTATGAAACAACACACAAAGAAAATTTTCTTTTCGTTATCTACTGGAAAAAGAAACAATATGTACGTTTTTGCAGGTGAATCTCTTAATAAAACTTAATTTCATCTGTCAGAAAAATTGTTTTTTTGGATGACAATACACTTTAACAGTATATTTCCACTGAGATTTGTCACACCAGTTCGATCTACTCGATCCGATCGGCTCGTCTATTCTGAGCTAGATGCCAACAAGCGGCCAATCAAGTGAGAAAAGGAGACATACATTGAATTTATCAGTCGAAATTGCCATAGCGACATCTGTAATAATCCTCAAACGCGACACATTCTTCTACATATTATAAAATATAAATAATTTTTTCGAAGAAGAAAAATGAAGATCGACAGATGTTTTGTGATTGAAAATGCAATGCTTTCTGATTGCTGTTCCATCAAATATCAAAGTTAATCCGATTGGAACATTCATTCATTTTACCTTGCAAAGAAATTTTGAAATATCTCATTTATTCACTGTATCAAAGTTGCATTTCATTCGTGACTCAGAAAACAATCTGACAAGATGATGATCAAAGTGAAAACATTAACTGGCAAAGAAATCGAAGTCGATATTGATGGGACTGATAAAATCGAACGTATCAAAGAACGCGTCGAAGAAAAGGAAGGTTAGACTCGTCTTTCGATTCATTCTTCATCCGAACTACGGCATTTCGTTTTAGGAATTCCTCCATCACAGCAACGTCTGATCTTCGGTGGTAAACAAATGACAGATGATAAAACAGTCAATGAATACAATGTCAATCCTGGTAGTGTACTTCATTTAGTCTTAGCGTTACGTGGTGGATGGTAAAGAAAAGCAAGAAACTTCCTCAAAGAACTTTATTTTATCTTGTATACTTCTTTAACTTAATTATTAAATAAACGAGAAACAAAATCTAAGAGAGATATCAAATAGCACGACGTAATTTGTTTTTCCTCAATATAAACTATTAACCTAACTTCTTTTTAGATTGCTTTTTTTCTTTCAATGTTTCTTTCGTTTGCTCATTTATATTTGTTATTGTAAGTATGTCTTCTTCATCACCTTCAACTCCGACAAGTGCAACGCCGCAACAAATTGGCAAAGCATTTGTTGTTCAATATTATCGTCTTCTTCATGAACATCCGGAATCTTTACATCGATTCTATTCGACATCGTCGACATTTATGCATGATGATCATCAAAAGACCGCTAAGGGAATAGAAGAGATTTCCAAACGTATTGAAGAATTATCTTTCAAGCAACGTCACGTGAAGATTCGTCAAGTCGATTGTCATTCAACCGTCGGTTCGTCTGTTGTCGTTCAAGTTTGCGGTGAAATATCGTCATCGTCAGTAATCGATTCTCAAACTCAACCGATCATGAAACGTTTCGTTCAAACATTTGTCTTGACACCAGCAGATAATTCCAAACAAAAGTATTATGTCCACAATGACATCTTTCGATACCAAGATAGTCCAACACCAACTTCAACGACTGAGAATATCAAGACAACTCCTGAAGGTACGGTTTTGAATTGAGGAGAATGTAAGTGTTGTGATTGTCGTTTTTCTAGCATCAGCGTCATCGTCAACAGTGATTGAAACACCCATTACACCGTCAGCATCGAGTACGATCGAATTTTATGATAATACCGTTGCTGAGAAAAAGGAAGGTAAAAGTGAAGCGAATGTTTCTTCAACTGTTCCTAAAACGCCACCAGCTACGCCAGCTGTTGCTGACCCAACCAAAGAGCAACCATCAAAACCAAAGTCTTATCGCGATGCCATTGGCAAAAAAGAGAAATCAACTGCTGCAGCGCCACAACCACCAGCAAATACAACAGCAACAACTACAGCAACAGCAGCAGCAGCTACAGCAACTGAAAATCAATCAACAGCATCAACGAAAAAATCCAATAAACAACAGAAGAAAGCAGCAGCCAAAGCCAATGCTAACAGCAATCGTAATCAACGTGGCCATCCTCAAGATGCCAATGATTACTACGATGATTCATGGTATCATGAAAATGAAGGTGTTGAAGGTTATCTTTCAACAGGTTACACCGATGATCAAGAAATATTCGTTGGAAACCTCTCCGCTCAAGTCACCGAAAATGAAGTAAGAATAATAGCAAATGAAAAATCTTTTGGATAAATCCTCGTTTTAGATTCATGGATTATTTCGCCCATACGGTAGTCTTTTACTGGTTCGCATTGGTAACACGGGATCTCAGGTGGGCGCAGCTAATTTCGCCTTTGTTGTCTGTCAATCAATCGAAATGGCCAAAGCAATTGTTGCCGATCATGAGACTTTTTTGAAAACTCATCAAGTGAACGTCGAAGCAAAGAAACGTCGCCCTTTTCCTCATACATTTCGTCCAACATATCCAACAGCTGCATCACCAACAAGCTATCAATCGACTGGCTATCCAGCCGCATTATACAATCAATCAAGTTATTACGAAGGTGTTCCAACACGTGGTGTCCGACGTGGTGGCCGCGGTGGCGCGAAATGATTTGTTTTTTGTTTTCGTTTTCTTTTTCTTTTGCCTTTGTTTTGTTTGTCATAACCTATTAACGTTCATTTGTCTTTTTTCCTGTTTTTTTGGAGAAAGTGATATTGTTTATTGGTCTTTCTTGTCTGCTGTTCGTATGTGGATGAAAAATTCTCGGGGATCTAGAAGAGAAAAGATGATAATGATAATAACTTTTACTCTGGTCTTTCCGCATGTTTGAATTTCTTCTTTCTCCTCCTCCTCTCCTTTTTTTCACCTTCTTCACTCCTGTTGTCTTTGACTTTCAACTTTAATAAACTTGAAACATTACAAGCATTGATACTCATTCATTGAGCATGAACATACTCAGTAGCGTCATCTATTTGTTTTTCTCGTCCAATCGTTATACAAAACAGAACGCTGTTGTCTCGCATCGTTTTGTTTTGTTTGTATAGGAAAAGAAAGTGAAACGTTTGAAAGAAATCTGTTTTAATCAATGGAAGACAGAACGCGTTTAACAAATGATCATTCGATAAAATTATTCATTCAACGTGACTATTCCGAAGGTACAGCTGTGAAATTCCAGGAACGTTTTCCAGGAGAACTAGAAGGACATGTAAATAGTTCATTGTTTCGTTGATTCGTTCGCAGAATTTTATGTTTAGATCAATCGTGACGAATTCATCGGTATTCTTCGCGATATAAACGGCTTCTTTCGCGATGCAGAAGCGTTATCATGTTCAACATTTACGGAAAATTGCTGTGCTTGCTTGACAGGTTATTTACTTCTACTCTGTATGCCAACTCATTATGAAAAGGTAAGAATAACGACGGAATTGAATAACTGTTCTAGTCGTGACATTTAGTGTGTTAAACGAGCAGCAAAATATATTGAAGAGAAAAATAAACGTGTGCTCAATCATCATGGAATATATATGGTCGATCCAATGGAGAAAGGACTTCGTTGCGTATGTCAAACGCTTAATTTTGAAATGAAAAAAGTTCCAATCAATGTTTTAGATTGAAGTGTGCATTTCCAATGCTCATCGGTAATCCAATTGTGAGTGGTTTCGACAAAAAATCTCGTGTTCTTCTCCTATGTTGAACAGTGTATATGAATAAATCTGTACTCTCAATGGATGTTTTCTCTTATTTCTTCTTCCTGCATTAAAAACATCAATTTTGCTTGTCTGTTTATTCTTTAAGATATTGACCTTTTGATGAACGAACATTCTCGTTCGGTTTTACATCGAATTGAATTACGTCGTCGAAGTGAACGCGATAAATTTGGTTTCGCTATACAATACGAACAACCTTGTTCCATCTGCGTCTACTCAGGAAGTTTAGCTCAAGCATGTGGATTACGTTCGGGACAAATCTTAGCCAAAGTGAATGGTTACAATGTCTTAGATGCCAGACATGATGACGTTAAACGACTTGTCTATGCTAAGCACACGAACGTACTTGTGTTAGAAGTAAGTTTTACTACAAAATTTGAATGAGGGAAAGATGAGTTTGTTGTAGGTGCTCGATCCTGATGATGATATTGAGGAAGATAATAGTATCGACTGTAAAGAGAATATCCTCTCGCCATCTTCTTGCCATGTTACATCGAAAATCTCGGTGAACGATGCACTTCGCGGACGCATTCTTCGAGAGAGTAACACCGGTTCATCATCGACGATAAATAAATATCCAATAAAGCACTATTATAAAAAAGCTCGCGAATCTCTCACATCATCATCGCAAGATTCCACTACTAGTACGACATCCGAGCCATTGATAAACAATCGACAGAAATCCTTTCCAAATATCAATCGTCAACGTCTTTCGAAAGTGATTATTAGCACCAATCTTCGAATGTATTTGTCCCAAATCAATGATATCATCCTTTTGAAAGATATGTACTCATCGTTGACGCCCGGTGTTAATCTGATTGATTCGCAGTCGTCATTATCGTTTAAACATCAAACATTGTATACATTTTCTTCAATTGATTTCCTCGGTTACTTCGATATTGATCATAATAGTAAAAATCAAACAGAATTAGTGAAAAAAATCCAAAAATTTCTTAAGCGTTCAATTTTAAATCCCACAGCACATAAAATCCAATTTCATATTCAATGTAAACAATTTCAAATCACTCCACTTTGGTTTCACTTCTTAGCGGGCAAATATTTAAGCTATGTTTGCCTATTTCATACCCAACCGACGTTATTCGCATTGATACTCTACTGTTCGATAAAAATCGATGAGAATATCAATAAATTAAAGTATGAACATAATGCCAGTTCGATGTTTGTCTTTCGCGCGTCGTCCGTCGATGAACGAAATCGAATCATTCAGTGTTTATTCGCCAGAGCGAAACATTGCTCGAATGAACAATGTAATTTGGAAAGTAAACATCGAAAACATCATTTAGACGAACCAGGTTTGTCAACAGAAGAATCATACTATTTTCTCTTATAATTATTTCCATATTTAGATACATGCTCAACGAATAGTTCGTGTGCAACATCGATCGATTCGAATATCGATTCTTGTACAACGGGAACCACTTCTCAGTCGTCCGTCGAATCCTCGTCACCTAACGCACTGCGATCGTCTATAGAAGAGGATGATGAAGAAGAAGACGATGATCACGAGCATCATCAACGCAGCATTCCGCCACCACCACCCGAGTACGAAGAAACTTTCATTCCTCAGCATTTCACAAAAATCTTTTTCTCCGTTTAGATTCGGTCACGATGATGATTCCTGTCCAGGTCCATGTTCGTCATCATCTTCTTCGTCACTCTCCGATGGTGATCTACTTGATAACGATCTAGTTGGACCGAGTGCAGCATCAACAGCGACAACCGGTCAATTTCTATGGATTGATCATCATCCGCGTCGTCATTCCATTGCAAACGATACTCATCTTCTCGACGCAAACAGTTTTCACTATCACCCATCGAGTCCATTTGTTGATCATCCACCATCTGTCGAAGATCTACGCGCACGATTTGCATCCGCTTATATTCTCACTACTGCTCCCGTATGTTTCTTACTTTTCACCTTTTGTAAAAGACTCTGTTGTTTTCCTTTCAGTCTTTGACGGCCATTCATAATGATGATGAATTGTCTTTGCAACACGAGACAAGTATTAATGAGGGTTCAATTGATATGAGTGAAGAGCATTGTTCGGCAATGTCATGGGCCATATGTTTTGAAAAACTGTTGAACGATGAATTGGGTTTACAAGTCTTTACTGAGTTTTTAACCAAAGAATTTAGTCAAGAGAATATTCAGTTCTGGGTTGAATGTGAAAATTTCAAAAAGCTAACCAATAACGACGAAGTAAATACTCTTGCGGCACAAAAATTCAAGAGAACCGTTTGTCTTTTTCAGATTCGCGAAAAAGCCAATCTAATTTGGTCGACGTATTTACACGATACGGACGATGGATCATGTCGGATCAATATCGATAATCGAACGCGACAAGAATGCGAACAACTATTATCAACTAGTCCAGATATTCATCTTTTCGAAAAAGCTCAATCTCAGATCTTTCATCTAATGAAATACGATTCGTACACCAGATTTCTCAAGTCAGATATTTACAAAGATTGCATTCGCAATGAAATGGAAGGAAAATCAATAAATTACAGCAAACAACACGTCACCAAGCCTTCGGAGCAACCACGCACGACTAACATCGTATGGTGGAATGAGATATTTTGATGTCAACTACTTGAATCTTATTTTTAGAACAAACTGAAAGAAGAAGAAAAAAAAGATAAGAAGAAAAGTCCTTTCCTGCCTTGGACAAAAGGTAAGAAGCATTTCTAATCGATTAAACATCACACAGACGATCAAGTTTTGAGATTAAAAAAAAAACTAATTAGTAATTCATTTAGCTGTTATAAAAATCTTTCCCAAAGACAAAGAATCTTTGCCCTTTGTATATCCAGATCAGTTAATTTAATCAGGCAAGCTTTATATTTCTATACTTAGATGAATAGTTAGTTCATCTATTGGAAAATTTGATTTCGCTCCAAGATATGTGAGACAAGCGAGCTAATTCCTTCTCCTTCATCTCATGTTACATCAATTATTGCTGCAAGATCGTCGGATATTTCAATCGATGTATTTCAGAGACAACATTGAACTGTCTCACACATTTGATAGGCCATTGAGACTGCTGAAGAGAACGGAAAACTGGTCGGCGTAAATTATCTGCCGGATTTCATGGATCAGATAATATCTGTTGAGGATTTTGCAGAAGGAAAGAGAACGAGCAAACGTACCTTAATTAATGATGAATATTAATAGAATTTTTTCAACCTATTTAATAAAAGATGACATGTTGATATATCTTCTAGCTTTTTCCAAATGGAAACGACCAATAACATCAAGTATGTACCTATTCGAATGAATATATCACGAAACCTTACAAATATTTACTCTAGATGCCATTCCTCCATCAACGAGTTCAACATTGGACTCCTGCTCAGTCAAGTCCTGTCAGATCTCTTCGTTCAACACGCTTCCACGTTGATCTTTACCTCTGCTCTTGTTTTCGTGTGATCAAAACTTTCGAGATTTTGTTTCTACATACATCAATAATCAATGGAATTCAATTAGTGTTTTTTTTTCTCTTCTGAAAAATAAATTGTTGCATTCTATTTTATGAATAATTACACTCGGATTCCTTTTTTTTTTCCCCGTCAATTTTAATACTTCATGTCATCAAAATAGATCGTTTTTCAGTAGAGAATCTAATGAGAAACAGGCTAAACAGACAAGTTTTGCAGCAGAGAGAAAGAAATTTCAAGCGGAAATTGATGAACATTTCATTATATTGCTTGATGAGTAAATTTTTGTGAAAAAGCCAAGCTGAATTCTTTTCTCAATTGAACATGTCAACAGTGCACAGACATTCGGTTATCCATGCTTCGTCAAGTATCCGTATAACCTATCGTTTCGTAAGTAGAAAATCTTCATCGCATCATTATCATCAGAAGTTGAATTAATTGAATGGAAAACGTACTAATTTTTGTCATCGTTGATTAGGTAAAAAGGAACGGAGATGAAAGACATGCAGCTATGCGTGTCTGAAATTGCTTGAACGATAAACAAGGAAGCGAAAGAGAAAAACACACACGCTAAAGAAAGAAGAAGAAGAAAAAAGAATGGCGATTAGAAGGATTCCGTTTTGAGCGCTTCACATTCGCATTAAAAAGAATCTTCTCATTGGTGCCGGTGTTTTTATCGGTAGTTATTGTTAACAAAGTCAAGTTTTTCTTTCTACTCGTCCAAATAAATGTATGTGTATGTGTCTTAGCATAATTATTTTCTCTGCCTCCCCTCTCCCTCTCTCTCTCTCTCTCTCTCTCTTGTCGTTTCTATTATTTTCATTTATCTTCTTGCTTCCCTTCGATCCTCTTTTTTTGTTTGTTAGTTAAAAGAATAGCAAAGGAAAAGCACTAGCTATTGTTATTAGTGGCTATATTGACATAGGAGCTTTTCAACGCATAGATTCGTGATGAAACTTGCTGAAATCAATAACATGTGCGCAGGTGTCCTTGGCCGCTGCCCTTGTTAGATGAACTCGCATTTCATTCGACGATCAAGTAGAAAGATTGTTTTTAAGAATGGATTATCAATTAAATATGAACAAATCTTCGTCGTCGCCGAAGCCGAAGAATCATTTTTTTCATGGACAAAAACAACCATATGAAGAGGAACTTGCTGAACATTCCACCTTATCGACACCAACAACTTTATCATCGACATATCTGACTGCGGATAGTCCATGGAAACACCCAACAACTGTTGATTGTTTGAAACTTGATGATGAGCACAAACGACAGGTAGAGAGAGAGCGAGGCAGAGAGAAGATTAAATAATTCATTTAACCAGAAGAGAAAGACTGATCTTTCAGATATTGAAATTCTTTGTTTTTTGTTAATAATTCCACGAAAACCTCTTCATCTAATACTCGGAGATCCTCAGAAAGTAATTACATGAATCGAACAATATATTGATAGTATTCTTACATGAATTGACAAGGGAGATTTTTTTTTCTCATTTATTAATATTTCCTTTATTTGACAACTGAATCCTTCGAACGTGGAATCTCTACATGTGAAAAGATAAGAAACTAATGATACCTAAGACAAACCAATTAAGTAATGTTAATCCGTCATTGACTGTTGGTTAGCCATTATGAGAAAGTCGAAGTATGTAATATATATATATAAAAAAAGGAAAATAATAAGAGAGCGATGATGACAAATCGATTGGAGTCCGACCGGTGCTTGGAGAAAGTAATGTCAATCAGGCAAATGTCATCTTGGGAATTCGCCTTCATCATTCGACATCGACAAAGGAGAGACGAATGAAACGAGAAGCAGAGGAGAGAACGTACATTTCCGATTGTAATTCTTACTATTGAACAATAGAATGTCAAAGATTCAAAGAGCGAATATGCGATAATTACAAGCGATGAGTTCTAATAAGATTTATTTCGATAAGGATCAATCGTGACATCTATATGTTTACACTTCTTTAGACAATGGAATTGAAAACCGTTGGTAAAATGGGTATGGTTCGACGAAAGCAATTCCTTCAAAAACGAGACTTCAGTCGATCACATGAGGTAAGCAGTTAAAGCGACGTTTTTCTCTGCGAATCATTATTATCTACTACTGTTGATGATGATTTGTGTACGCGACGTCAATATTTGGAATAAAAAAAAAGTCAAACGTCGTAAGGAAGAGAGAGAGAAAGTTTTACTTTAATATTCTCTCTTAAGTAAGAAGATGGAGGAAGGCCAAACTAAATAAACGGCAAGAAATCAATCATGTGCCAATTAAGCGACAAGTTTTCTCAGGTTTGTTCGCAGGACTCAATTGAATTCGTATCGGTTTTGTTCAATATGATCCTGGACTATGTCTAATCGTATTTTCTAATGTAAACTTGGTTTAATCCTTTATTAATTGCATGTTTCTGAACAAGAGCTGATCAGAAGACTTCGCTTTTCTTGTATTCGAAGAAAACATTTTAATTATTGTTTCAGTCGAGATTTTTTTGTCGCCGTTCTGTAATCTGAAAGAAGCACTTGACTGGAAGGAATTCTACCAGTTTGTGCGATTAGAATGTTTTTCAAGAAAATCAGATTTCCGTTGTTTTCTTCCATCATTCGGTTTCTGTTTCGAAATGTAAGAGGAAAAATCTTGTTATTTCTAATAGATAATCGAAATTAACGACATATGTTTTGACAGAAATGGAAAGTGTTGGGTAATTCATCTAGTGTGTCGTCTTTTTTTCTCTCGCTCGATATTCTTGTAAATGCCTGGAGGACAAACAACAATATCATCTTATGTTGTTCTTCATTACATGTTGTCTAATTCCCATGTAGAGAAAGAACAACGATCAATCTCTTGAACACTAGAAAAAAAGAAAATGGAGCTCTCTAATAATCACTTGCAGTTAGATGCAGTTTGATGTCGAACGAGCAGATTAATCATATTGAGAAGACGAAGTACATCGTAAGAATTCCCAAGAGCTGCTACTTTTTTTGTTTCCGATCTCGAAAACATGCTACTGATTAAGTTGGATATAGGCAAATCAATTGAGTCGTTTGTCAATAGTCGAAACGAGTTTGTATTTAGAGAGAAAAGGCATGTTCGCAATTGTTTAGACAATCATCATTATCATCATCATCATCATTGTTATTGTTATTGTTGTTGTTGTTGTTGTCGATGTTGACTAGATTGAATTTGACATTCTAGAGTCTTGTTCCGATTCGTAGAGCAGATTCAACTTGCTATTCTCATGGAGATCATCGTTGTTATTCTTTTTCTCGTTCTTCCGAAATCTATTAGGGAAACAAAAAGGGAAATCGATCGAGATAATGGCCATAATGTGAACGAGAGCGGCCGAGCGATTGTTCGTTCGTTCGCTCGTTTGTTTTGCTATTGAGCAGAAAAAAAGAGGCAGCGAGAAGGGAGATAGAGAGCAACAAAAAATTCGTATGTGTATCGTTGTTTCATTGTGTGCATAACATCAGTTGGAAGAATAAATTTTGTTTGACACCGAGATACAGGCAGCAAGCGAGAGAGAGAGGGAGAATCGCTACGGAATGTTAGTGAAAGGAAGCAAGATCTCCCATCATCATCATGAATGATTATTGTATTCATTTAAATGGAGATTGTCAGACACGACAGGCCTGTGCTTCTTGCTTTTCCTCTCGATTCTTTGCTTTGACTTTCTCCTTTCCTCCAGGAAAACCTACATCATTATGTTTTCTTTTTCTTCAAGTAACAACACCGAGTAAAGCTTTCGTCTATACATACATCTTGTATCTTTTTCTCTATCTCTCTTCTCTTGTGTATTCTTATGTACTTCTGAGATGGTAGGTGGTTGGCAATGACGATGACAACGATAAGAACAACTATTATAGCACGAATAACAACAACACTTTGCATTCACTTGTGATTTTTCTCGTTCTTCTTCTTCTTTCATTGATTACCTATGAATCCCGTACTACCGAGTCGACATTTGCTGGATGTCGATCCTCGTCGATTGTCAATGATCAATGCGGCTAATATGAGCGCAGCAGGTCATCCAATACATCAACGTCGAACATCGATTATCAACTATCATCAACATCGCAATTCACAATTGCGTAAATCAAGTTTTACGACTTCAATCTTGGTATGTGACAGAAGCGCACTAGATTCACTGTTGGATATTGCCATCTAAAGAGAAAAAAAAAATTTTTCGATCCGAGGTTCATCTGTTCGGATGTGTTTCCATGCAAATAATGATGATGATGATGATGATGATGATGCCATTAAAAACAGAAAAAGGGAGAAGCGTTTTTTCAAACATGTATGCTGATGAATACCATTCTTATGACAAACTCATGCTTGAATAGATTTCTATTGATGAAGAACGTAAAACCAAGCGCATCTCTTTCTATTAGGCTTTTTTCATTTCATTCATTCATGTAAAGAATCGTTTGTTTTTCGCGCGATCGACGACAGATGTTGAATGTGTTGAGATTAGCCGAGCTCAAGTCAAAAAACATCTATATTAAGTCAAGCCCATCAGTAATAGTTAACTCGTCTTGATGACGGATTGGTTAATCGCCTCGCGAAATCAACTATTAATATAATCTGAAAGAAATAAAGAGAATATCATTTATCAAAGAATCCTATCTGAAACCATCGTAGGAAGGATGATTTGTCAATGTGTGTGCAATGTTATCTGAAATCTTAATGAACCCTACGAACGAGAGGAAATGCCGTTTTCTTCCAATTGAGGAAAATCTTGCTCGGTTACCTAGAGATAATGAAACTAATGGAATGATAATCGGCGGAAAAACATTTCCCTACAAGAGATTTTGTTTGGATATTAGTATCTGATGTGCAGAGAGACGAAGATCTACCTTGAACTACTCGTTCGTCCTTCAATTATGGCCAATTTTTGCGAGAGGGAGAAAAGAAAATATGCTATCGTTATCTTCTGACGACAGAAGATTATTCACCTTCATTTTCTGATTTTGCAAGTTCAAGTTTGAAAATACAGAATAGTCCGTTGATTCCTCTCTATGCAAAATATCAGTGTCTAGTTGAGATTCATTGCCTTAATAATTAGTTTCCATGAAATTTCAAACGATTGTTGAGATCAGAGACTAGGATGAAGCAAATCTTTATCTCTTGTTTCATCTATCGGAAGTAGGACTAACTAGTTGCCTGTCGCCATCGGTCCATTCAGTTTGTATCACGCTTGCGGATGCAACATTTATTCCTCATTCCGTCTCTAATTCCATCTGCGTGAACGCGCACGGGAATCGAATATTGTTTAATAATGAGAACCGACTTCGACAACGTATCTGTATATTAAATTTACACGGTACACATCGACATCCAACTTCGCTACAAGAAGGAAAAAAAATAGGTTTTTCTTTCTTGTTTTTCTCATAGTTCCAATGAAATCTTCGCATTTGACGATTTCTTTTTTTTTTGTTTTTTGCTCTTCGATCTTTCCTTTTTTTTTCTTTTCTAATACGATTAGAATTAATAAGAATCTCTCACTCATTCTCATCTCTTTGTTACACACGACATCTTCACAAACTATTTTTGTCAATGTGTGTTTCTTCAGTCGACATCGACATTAACACAACATTTGATGATGAAATCTGCCCGTCTGCATTTCTATTTTATCTAACTGTTTGATTTGCGAGTATTCGATCTCTTCACAAGCATTGACAAGTCCAATCATGTCAATGTCAACATTCAAAACACTGGATGATTATATGAATGATTGTCCTCGACCGCTCCATCGTCTTTCTTGTTATTCACCATTGCCCAGTCATGCTGCTCAGGTTAGAATTTTTTCTGCCTTTTCTTTTTTGCCAACGCAAACCATCGTTGCCTTTTGCCGACAGAATCAGCTTTTGCTTGATTAACTTTTTACTTTTGTTCCTCTGATTGTCTTCTTGTTTTGCTGAAGAGGATGTTGATCATTTTCTTTTTCTACTCAATGTTGTTTCACACTTGGATAATAACAAATTAGAATGAGTTCGTGATGCTATTAGATACTCGTGACAAGAGTTTTTCCTTTACAGAAAATAGATGTGAAAACACAAAAAAGATAATGCAATGATCTCCGTCGATTAGAATGTTAAACAATAAAACCAAGTATAGACAATTCTATGAGAAAACTAAGCCGATTTACTTCTCAGATCTGATCGGATTTCAACGAGCACAGGTAGTTTACTTTTTCGTAAATAATATTCATCTGTTCAGTGACAATCGACGTTTCTACATGAGAAAGAGAAGAATTTCTTTATAATAGAATTGAACGAATTGTTCGCATTTGCTTGTCGGATAGGAACAATATTTAGTTGATGAAGAAATCTAGACTGTCGAGTTCTATCTCATCAAGGCAACGTGCATATGGAGATAGTCCGAATTCTGTCATCCGAATTAATCTCTTCCGATACGTTGCATCCAATTGTTTTTTCGTCTGTTTCTCCACTCGCCGATTAGATTTCAACAATCAATCATTCGAATTGAATTGTTTCCATTTCTCCTTCTCATATCCAATCGAAGGAAAATAAGGACTAAGTTAACTATTGTGTTATTTTTTCTACTTAGTTTCTTTTCTTCTTTTTTATCCGTCTCAATTATTGATTACACACGGTCGGTCTACTATTGAATCCATTTGCACGATAGACTTCGATGTATTGACGCGCTGTGAAGAACGACGTCGGAACCGACGTGTTCTCCATATGGCATGTTAGTGAGCTTTTAAGAATTAGAAGAGTAGCGAACTGTGTTTGTCAAAAACATCTCGAAGAGAACGAATCGAAGACAAAATTACTTTCTTTTCTCTCTATTTTCTTCACACTCGCAAACAACAATCAATCACTATTACTATTTTCTACAACTACAACTAGAAAAACAAAAACATTTTCTTATTTAACACGACAATAGTCAGGCCTTTTTGTCTTCATCTTAAAACATATCATGCGAAATAGTACGATAAATCCAACACACCTTTCGTTAATACGAAATCTAGCCACTGGATTCCGTCGACAGTCTAGCGTGAATGATTATAAACTGCCGAATACATTGGTATGTAGTCAAGTCAGGATATGATTTCCGTCACGAATTTCACAAGGTACTGTAGAGAAGATAAACGATTTGTTTTTCTCGATGAACACTTCCAAGTGCTTGACATTGATTAGATTTGTTCAATTAAAATCAGGAACAAGTCACATCTTATCGTCAGCCGGATTGAACCAGGCAGAGAAATAAATAATGGCACTTAGTTGCATTTTCCGCTCTTGAAACTTGTCATATGAGAGTATCCTTGTTTCTTTCGGTATCTGTGCATGTCAAAACGAGAAATGACATCGAGAGACGATCGTTGTTTTTCTTCGTACCAATTTATTCCTTACATTGCCATACCATATGCACTCTTGTGACAGTCAAAAATACATCAACTACTGGTTAGCGAGAATAATATTTATTAGTGATACACTAGCAACATCTTCACAGAGAAGTTATCTAGTATAGAGAACTGCTGAGAGAGAGAGAGAAAGAAAGAAAGATGCAAAGCTAAAACATCCGAGAAATTACAATACGTTTTTTCCTTCTCCTCCTCCTCCTCCTGTCGTGTTCAATTTCCCTTTCAATGATGGTGTCATATAATAAGAGTAAGTCATGAAGTCATCAGAGGTATTAGCACGTCGCTTAACACCAAAACTGATTAAGACCAAGGTATATCGGCACTTTCGATCGAACAGAAAACTAGTCGATGTTGTTTTCTACTTTAGTCACTTGCTGTTACCGATGAAGAAGCAAGCGATTTGTCTGTAACACGTTTATCGATTTCCAATTCACTAACAAGCGTTCATAAACAATGTGAAGATGAAGATACCGAAGCAACGAATAAACTATTGGACATCGGCCGTGTTGCTTCCTGGGCAGTTGGCTTTGAAAAATTGCTCAATGATGAAATGGGTTTATATGTGTTTACTGAATTTCTCAAGAAAGAATTTAGTCAAGAAAACATACAATTCTGGACGGAATGCGAAAAATTGAAAAAATTCACAGATCTCGACGAAGTTGAACTTTTACCTTTCGTTTCAAAGTTAGTCTATATCTTCTCTCATAGGTTCGTTCGAAAGCAAATATGATCTGGTCAACATATTTACATGATACAGATGATGGATCATGTCGAATCAATATTGACAGTCGAACACGACAAGAATGTTACCAATCACTATTACACAAACCGAATGCTCATATCTTCGAAAAGGCTCAATCTCAGATATTTCAATTGATGAAACTCGATTCATATACGAGATTTTTGAAATCCAACATGTATAAAGAATGTATTATGAGTGAAATGGAAGGCAAATCGATACCATATACGAAACCCAGTCCACCACCACCGACCAATAACGAAGACCGATCGAAAGGCAACGATAGTCTTGTATGTAATGAAAACGTTGCGAGACATACGACGTGTTTTTATTTGCCTTCATAGGGGAAGATCAAAGACGAAGAAAAGAAAGACAAGAAACGTAGTCCGCTTATTCCTTGGACAAAAGGTATTTGAAACAATTGAAGACATTCGTTCTAAATCTCGTCGTTGCTTTCTTTCTCTTTCTCTCTTTAGCGTTTATTAAATGGAAACGTCTATCAGGTTGGTCGATATTTTCGTTGATTGTATTCATAATTTCGATTTGTTTAGCTGCGCCCGAGACAAGCAAGTTTCTTTGATTTATTCTTTTGTGATGTTCTTTGCGTAGAGCAAAACAAGAGCTTGCCTTATAACTAACCCCCCCCCCCCCCCTTTCCCCCTCGTCGCTCGCGCTCCCTCACCCTCCCCTGTGAACCC